GTGAAGTATTAAAACAGCCATGTTTTGTCTCCAACTGTGACTGTTGTAAAGGTGATACAACAGTTGATGAAGTTATGGGTGAGATTTCATTATCTAAATTTTGTGAGCATGCGAATCACAGAACTGCTGAGAATGAGTTAAATATATTTGCAGATACCGGTTCAAGCAAAAATATATGTTTAGAATGAAGTTGACAGAGGTAACCAGTTTCCAATAGTAATACCATGAAGGGACTAAGACTACAGTCCTCCCTGTTACAAAAGAACTAACAGGATCTAAAAGCTCAGTGAATGTTCTGAATCCATATTTCATATTCACTGATGACTGTTCCATCACATGCATTAAAAATAAGTACCAATAAATTATCTACAGACACATCAGACTAGAGACCGACCGAATTTCGGCTTCGGTTTCGTGCCGAAAGTGGCGATTTTATCACTTTCTGCCAAGTTTCGGTTTTGGCCGAAACTGAAAGTTAATTTTCAGCTTAATTTCGGTTTCAGCCGAAAAAGAAAAGTAAACTTTCTTTTTTTTTCGGTTTCGGCCGAAAGTGAATGAGGTTTTCGGTCATCTAATACTCAGCAAAAGTGATATTTAACAACAAACTAAGCGACATTTAAGAACAGCTGAACGATCTTTAAGAACAAATAAACTAAACTATCTTTAACAACAAGATGTTAAATTAGATGTTTATTTATTAATATTCACGATTATCTCTTTTTTTAATAAAAAGAATTTAAATATTTATACTTTCCCCCATCATTTTTTATGTAGGTATGCAGAATGTATACGGGAAAGAATTTCAAAATATCTAAATATTTCATTTTCGGTCTTGGCTTTGGTTTTGGCCGAAAGTCATTTTTAACTTTCTGCCTTTTTTGGGTTTCGACCGAAAGTCATTTTTAAACTTTCGGCCTATTTTCGGCTTCGGCCGAAATCAGAAAATCACCCTCGGTCAGTCTCTACATCAGAACTTTAAATAAACTTTATTATTATTATTATTAAAACATTTATTAAAATAATGTAAAGGAAGCTACCTTTATGTTGACTTATATTGCTTCTTCTTTTACATCAATTCTCAAAAAAAGAGTTGTATTTTAAGTTTTTAAATGTTTTATAGTATATTGTTTGAAATTCAAAGCATAGGTCTGTTCTTGAATTACTGAGTTTTTTAATGAAGTTCTTAGGAATTCCATAATACAAATATAACATAACCTGTCTTTGAAGAATTTTTAAAGTTGATGATAAATTAAATACAGTACTAGCTGACCAACTGTTCAGTAGTAAGGTTAAACAAAATTTCAGCTGTTGATCCTTATAATATTTTTAGTCAAAGCTAAAAAATTATACTCTATTTTAATTTTTTTACAGCACTTCAACTTCCCAATGTCACGAGCAGCCAAACCAGGCACATAGCACCAAGAACAGTTTCACCAACAAGCTCATCAGATAGACAATCACGATCAGACATGAAGTATGCAGCAATCAATGGATACACCCACAATGTCAGTGGGACAGAACGCATGTTTGTCACTGAAGTGCATAAAAAAAGGTCCCCAAGTCCACGTCACAGCTCAAAGAGAAGCAATATTTCAGTGAACCAGCGGCCATACTCTGCAAATAGTGCCGGTCAAGGCATGTTGGAAAAGTCTCCTTACATGGCTTGTGTTGCCCCCCACATTCATCAACCACACAAAATTACAGTAAGGCCATACAGTGCCAAGAAGTTTATGCACAATGTGTAAATATTCACCAAACATTGTAGTATGTTATGATCATTGGAAAACTGAACGACTTGTTTGAAACTGTCCAGAATTAATTTGTCTGGAAAAAAATATTCCCAACTTAGTTTGTGCTGCATTGTTCTGATTATATATTTTGTTCCTTCATTACATTTCATGCTTATATTTACAAAAAATTTTTTTTTAGAAGAAGCATTTATTATTATAATTTAGAAAGCATTTATCTAAATTATAATTTTGCAAGTAAATTACTAAAAATGTAAACGGTGCTTTTTAATTTCGAAATTAAAATTCGATTTTTTATTAAAATAATGTATGATGATAGCATGTTGAGTCATGTTTTTTACGGACCAATAAGGAAGTTTGACAGTTATTTAGGCTTTTTAAAACTCTTTTGACATTTCACATTTCATTAGTAATTTTAAATTGTATAATTGTTTTAGAAACTGTGTTTTCAACTAAAAGCTGGTTATGTGAATCATGCCTTCACTATCATGTGGAATATAAGGAAAGCTTTAGCTCTGATATCATTTGAGCCTATAAAAATAAAAATAACCTAACAAAAACATTTATATATATTTACTTTTTATTTTCCCGTACTGAAAAAAGACATTAAACTTTCTAGTTGTACCGTGGTGAAATATAAAATGTATCTCAAGCCAATGATAATGCTGAGATACTTCATAATTATTATTTAAATTGTATTATTATGTGACTTTATTGTATTACTTTGGAACGCTTTTGATACAGAAAATGACAAGCTTCATAATTTTAACAAAATCAGATGATCTTGAATAAGGAGTTAACGTTTGATAAAACTCCAAGCAACTTGACAAGTTAAAGTTTTATAAATGTATGCACATTTGAAATAAATGTAAATACCCTTGTAAAAAGAGTATGTGTATGTTACTGTTATTTTAAATTATTTATATACTGGTAAAATAAAATATTTTACATTAATATACATGCTTTCAATAACTATAACCATACTTTAATCATTTATATATTTGTGTAAAATAGTTTAAACTAAATTTCAAACTAAAATGTCAAAGTTTCATTATGAAATTTTAAAGATATAAATGTAATACTAATACTATTTTTAAAGTATAAGATTGAAAATCTGTGGCACAACTATTTGTCCAAACAAACTCTCAAAAGAAATTGCATAATGCAATTGTTAACAACAATTAATTTAAGAATGATTTTTAATTCTATTATTTTTCAGCTTTGAGCCTTATAGAATAATTAATTTTAATGGGATTGTCCTAGCGTTATTTATTACCTGATAACATCACAACTAACATAAAATGGATAATGAAAAAAAATGTCTATAGTCTAAACGTGTGTAACCTGTACAAAAAAAAAAGATTATCATATTGTTTTAAATAAAAAAATTACCTATTTTATTTGTTTACTCACCAGCTATTATCTATATGGTACATTTTAATCTGTGATATGTTAAAGTTTGGGCTGTGACCTTGTGGCTCAAAATGCTGTAAAGGGTATTCATGTATTGTATTAAACAGACCAATGTTTCTTTTATCTTCTCTGCTAACATTCATGAGTAATGTCTTTCTGTTATAAGCCATAGACATTTGTATTTTACATAACACAAGTTATGGCTTCCTGAAGAAGCTGTCAATCAAAATTAAACCAATGATTTTACTACACTGTATCTCAGGTGACAAGACCATTTAACTATTGAATGTTTTTGTTGTATTTGACATTTTCCTTGTAAGTATTAAGTATTTAATGTTAACACTGTATCAACATTTACTGAATTTGTATGTTAACATAGTATCAACATTTACTAATTAAAATATCATATGTGGTATATGAAGAAACACAAAATGTTATTTTATGTCTTTTTTTAAAGATATTAATTAAATCTCCTTTTATTTTATCAAATAGTTTATTTTTCATCAGCACAAGAGAATCATTTATTTATTTGTACATTTTAGAAAACTAATAATCTTGTAATGATATTAATTATATTTATATTGCTTACTTTAATTTGTTAGAATACTTTTTTTCAATCAGTGTTCAATTTTATACCTGTTCACATAACAAAAATAATTAATTCATTAAATTCAACAAATAACTTAATACTTAACATTGGGATAAAAAAGTATTTGTAGTACTCTTGTTTTTATTCAAAATAATTTTATCAATGTAACTTTGGTTCAGCTTGTTTTATCACTTATTCCTTGGAGACATTTTGGGGATGATTTTTTTTTTTAAAGCATTTTACCCTTAAAATAAAAAAGAAACTAACTAGACTAATAGACCAGTAGTAAAATATGTTCAACAATATCTTGAAATTAATTCTTAAAAGCATCCTATTTGGTTCCTAAAGTAATAAAATATTTCAAATGTTTTAAAATTGTTTTCAATGACAGCATTGACATCTCTCAAAATAGCAGTTCCATTTACATCTATAATTCTGGAATAAGGAGTATCCAATTAGCACTTTTTATTAAATTCTTATTTACATCACAATAGTTTCTTGTTTTAAAAGTTTGTTTATTTCTTGAAATTTTTCAAGAACTGAGGAAAATAAGCATTATTAGTATTAATTACTTTTTTGTTTGTTCACATTTAGTCCTCATATTTATAATGCTTTTTAATTAATCACAGAAAAGAAATAAACACACTATGAATGAATGGTTGCTTTTTAGTTGCTTCTTCTTAATGTGTTCAATATTTTCAGTGAAATGAATCTGGTCTAAATTTTCAGTTTAAAAAGTAACCTAGTAAACTGTGAAGTGGAGAGAAACTATAACATTAATAATTCTCAAGCTATCTGAATAAATTATGATATTTATGTATTACACCAGTAAGGTATGTTGCATAGATATGCTCATATAAATTAGATATATTTATTTGGCTCAAATTAATCTAAATTCTTAATAACATTGTAAATGTTTGACCTCTTTGTTTCATCAAGCTATTTCAAGGCTTAGGATGATTATTTTATTTTTGTCATGTGCATGTTCATTATTCTAGTTGAGCTCTCAAAGGATTAACTTTCTTTACTGAAAATTTAGGCTTTACATAACTTTCAAAGTTTAATGATGATAATAAGGTGGCAGAGATTGCAATTACGTTAGGTAGAGGAAAATAAATGAAACAACTTATGGGGAAAACCTGGAAAAAAAAAGGATGCTCCAAAACGAGCTTGTCGTCAAGAAGCCTTCTTCAGTGAACAGTTCAAACAAAGAGTACCGGCAACGCAACGCAAAGCACTGACACATGAGAGGGAGGTACAACTTTATATTTTAATTTTTGATAGGTGGTTTAAGTCAGTTACAGAAATATAAAAAAAAACAAGCAATGAATGAATTTTCAATAGTTTTTTTTAATTGGATCATATCTCATGTATCTTGACACAATCCATCAGATCTCTTGCATATATACAAAAACTAACTACAAGTACAAGTATGAAAAGGGGTAATTATCAATTTTGTTCCATTTACATGAATAGAAGATAACCCAGACTTAGATAATATGACAAAATATACAACTGTGAGCTGTACAGACAACATGTCGTCCTCAAAAATATTTATCAGCTATTTTTATACTGAATTCTAAAATAATTATTTCCAAACCATTGATAGCAAAAAAAAGTTTAGCTGGACCAAGTTACGGGTTCACATTGCAAAGAAATAATTATTTTTGTACAGTTTTAAAGATATTTACATTTTAGGTTCACCATTGAAATATTGGTTCTTAATTAACTTTTTACCTTTATCTCCATGGGGCATAAATAAACGTAGACCTCGCACCCATTGCCAGCATTGCTTATCTTTCATTCAGCTTAAAATTTGGCTATCAAATGTTTACCTGACAACATTGAGACAAGTTTCTAAAAAGGCCACACTCAAAACTCCTTTTCTGTTACTCAGCAGTAACAAACCATGCCTGCTACCGCCATTTACTTTACTCATACTATTTATTAACAAACCATTCAAATCAAATTCTTGCAGTCATTTAAAACCATACTTACTACAATCATGTCAAATACTTTCTTTTTAACAAAACATTCTTGCTACGCTCATAACAATTATTTTTCTCTAAATCATAATTATTTTGCCATATTACTTACAATCATGTTCAAACTTTTTATAACACTAAAATCATTAAGTCTTTAATTCGATTGCACACCAAAAATATCTAATCAGTCTTATTTGTGACTCAGTTTTCACATTGAATAAAATTTCTTTTGAAACTTTTGTCAACAAACAGAAACTGCAGCATTCACATCACATCATTCAATAACACATATTTTCTGTCATTAAATTATTAAGTGGAACCATACAAGTAATACAACTGGCTATAATTTAAAAGTTGATAACAATGGAATATTAGCACAGACGTGTGTGGTCTCCCAACTGCCTTCCATGTGAAGATGTTGTCCAAAGAATCAACTGACTATGAAAGTGTTTCACCTTTAGTCACCTGTGATTAAACAAAAGGTAATCAGCATTTAGTGTGGATGTTGAAGTTTGGTAATTAAATCTCTTAAAAGAAATAAAACCTTTACAACCTGTCCACCCACCGCTCCACATGTTTATTTCGAAGTTTCACCAAGCTTATGGCTGATCTTGAGTAAAACCAAAAACAAGGGAACCACTTGAGAGGCGTGCTGCGTGCAGTCAGTTGGAACAGTAACATAAAATCATTTATGATTAAATTACAACGTTAAATTGAACACAACATGCAAATTTGTATGTTGCAAAGGAATGTGAGATAGTAAATCATTTCTAAGGACCAACACATTTTGCAGACAGGTGCAAATAAAATACCTATACAATTAATGAGAGATGATTTTCTAGGATTATAATAAAACAAATTATAATTTTAAAAAAAAAAGGCTTCATTGTTATTTTTATATTTTAAATCACAAGTACATCATTTCTCAAGAAAAAATATTTCTGCCAACATAAAAGTTCAGCAAGCTAATCACAATAAATTAAAAAATATATCCTTGTTTCATTCCCTATGTGGCCATTTAAGATGGGAGAAGAAAACATGAAATCAAATAAACATCTCACTTGGAGCAGAGAGGCGGTTTAAAAGTTAAATACATGACACCATAGGACCCATAAATAAATAAGTGCTGCTAAAAAAAAACATGTGCCATAATATATGTGATGCCTGTAAATAGTAAATAGCTAGCAATAGATTTGTTTGTTTTCCCGGGCCTTTTCAGCTGGCTGTGTTTATTTATATCCCTAGCCATCAATACATGTTGAAGAAAGCCCCGTTACCAAAATCAGTAGAAATTAATAAAACTCGATGAGACGGTTAAAACATGGGATCTTTTAATGTGATATAGCCGAAAATTAAAATAAAATAGAAAGATGAATCAACATGCCTAAGTTGATCACACCATGCCTTTGTGAAGGAAGAGACACCATGTTTCACACTTTATCAATTACAATACAACAAAAATAATAGTTTCTTTTTGTTATTTATGTAAGGAAATAAAATGAAGATATTAATAAATAGAAATAGTCCACACTGACAATAAAGTTATGTGACTGCATCAAACCGTCTAATTCAAGATCAGCTGATATAAAGTCATACTGTTATTAAAGTGTCACTGATTTCCATAAATGACATAAATATGTTAAATTTAAAATTTTTGTTCTAATCTTAGAACTAGTCTGTGCAAAAGAGATTGCTAACTATGAATTTATATTTTTTTTTTTTCAGCCAGTATTTGACTAACCACTGATTTACAATGTGTTCTTCAAACCAAAGAAGATAATAATATAATACATAATCTGTGAAATGTGATGTAGAAAGAAACAGACCAAAGATTCTGTCAATTTTAAGATCAAAAGGCCTGGAAATTTTCATTCTCCCTACCTTAAATTTCACAGCTACAGTAATCTCTTGTTAAATACAAAGAGAATATTCAAATAAGTATTTTAACTAAAAAAAAGCTCATGAAAACTTCAAATGTTCATTGAAAGTTGGCTCAGGGGTTCCCAACCTGAGGTTTGTGGTGGGAGTTCAGGGGATGCAAGGAACAATATAAGAACAGAGGAGTTGTGACTAAATGCTTAAATACTTTTTAATTTATTTTTTAAGTTGATCAGAAACCCATTTTTTTGTCCAATTTTTTTAAAAGCATTGTTACTTATGTAGGGTGTGCAAGACTTAATCAAACAATTTATAGGGGGTGTAGAATATATATTTGAATTTGGTTTTGAAATATGGGTATAGATGATCTGCTAATGTTGCTTTTTTTTTTTTTTTTTTAAACAAAAAATTATTATCTTATCATTTACATTCCTTTGTTTTATTTTCCATCCCCCTGTCCCCAAAATTCACCCTAGCAACCCTTCTAAAAACCACTATTTTTTTTTTTTTTTTTTTTTATAATTTGTTTTTTTTTTTTTTTTTTTTTTTTTTTTTTTTTTTTTTTTTTTAAACAAAAAATTATTATCATATCAGTTACATGCCATTGTTTTATTGTCCATCCCCCTGTCCCAAAAATTCACCCTAGCAACCCTTCTAAAAACCACTTCTTAAATATGTACTGTTAATATATGCCAAGGTTAACATTCTTCTGCATATATGGTGTATACACCTTTCTTGACCTGTACATGCCTTTAAAAAAAATGAGTCAAAAGGTATACTATTAAAATCAAGTAAAGATGTTTACAAATGGTTAAGACCTCATAAAAATGTGTAAATGTATTTATATTTATCAAATGTTAGATATAACTGGTTTTGCATTTTATTAATAGGGAAAGTGATATTTCAAAATGCTATTTTTTTCACCCTAAGAGCTCAAATATAAGTATTATTAACTGAGATACAAAAAATGGTAATAGAACTTGCAATAAGTTAAACTTAACAACATGAAATTACTGAATTTTATTTTTACATACCACTTATTAATTGTGTTAAGCTGCAAAACTAAGCGTAGAAAAATAATTGCTTTAATTGTATGAACTTTTTCAAAAACAAAAATTGACCAACTGTGAGTCCAATCCAAATAAATAAAAGTGCTTGATAAAATTGTAACTACATGTATTTTCCTCAGTTTCTAAAAGCTATGTCACAACACCCATCCAGATTAAAATTAGGCAAGCACAGAATGAATACCACAACAGATTTTTGGAGCTAGGGGAAAAGATTCCTTTGAGCCTCCTACAAAGCCGAACAAATAGAGCAGGCAGGAAATTGTTTCAAGGTGTATAATGAATTTAATATTTGTGAGAAATAACACAATGTTGGAAATTCTAAAAGCTAATTCAAACATCATGTTAGAACCAACTACAAAGCTGAGAGTGTCTGGAAAAAAAAAAGTTGTAACAAAAAAAAATCAAGGAATAAAACATATAAGCAAATGACACTCAGAGATTTACCCGTCAATCAAGTTTGAATGAGGCAACTAGTTTGCACTCATACAAAATTTTCAGAACCTATCTCAATTTCTTCTATATGATTCTCAGACAGGGTCTCGTTTTGAGCAATCTGGAAACAGACATAAGGAACAATGTAAACAGGTAAATGGGGACATTGTTTTAAAATGCTGCATTTAGAAGAAAAAATCTATATACCCTATGTGGAAAAAAAGTTGGAAGATGTACGGTTATAATTTCTTAAGATAAGGCTAACAATAACAAATTGAAAAACAAGCATGCCAAAATTAAAGGATCTCAGCTTGAACTGATCAATGTTCCTTTATATTTCCTTTGTTGACGAGTGGATCTATGCCAAGAAGACACAGGGATTCTACCAAAAAAATACAAATCAAAGGAAGTAAATAAAATTTTAACTATTGCACTATTGCTTATGCTGAGGGGGGGGAAAAAAACGAAGCATGTAATTTTTATTGAAAATTAAATGTATCAACAATTATGTTGCAATTAATACAACAATAGCCTCTGGTGTGGTGGAATAGTATTTTTTATTTATCCCCAAATATGATACTTCTAATATAATAAGTGAACAATCACAATTTATTTTTAATTAGAAAAACAAAAAGGAATGAAATTCCTTTCCAATGACATTATGATTAGAAAACAAGAATAAAATCAAATTATAGTTCTGTGAAGTTGGAGAAAGCAACAACAAAAAATAATGTAGATAAATACAACTGACAAACAACATATTCTCAAAACACCTGGAATATGACAGATGAAGATTTCTTTTATGGAATATGACAGATGAAGATTTCTTTTAATAGGGCCCACTGTGTTTTCCCAAGACTGTATAAGTATAATGGAAGATAAAAGCACATAATGTTTAATATGGGGAAAATAAGCAACAAAAAAATCATATTGATGCTGATAACTCTAATAGGAAAAGATCTAATTAAATTTTCTGAGATGAACTAATGGAACACTAGAAAGAATAAAGGTCACAAAGGAAAATAATACACAGACATATAATATCAGACATTCTTAAATTTAAAAAATGCTCCTTGCATTCTCGCTATTTTCTTGCTTATAGTTTTTTTTTTTTCGATAATACATATATATTATTAATAATACTGATGCATTTTCCCTACTCCCCTTCATTAGCACAAAAGCAAAAAAGGAGGAGACATCCACAGTGCCAGGTACTGATTAAAAAAAATTATAAAACTAAAATGATGCAATAATAATTTACTTTTTTAGAAATCATTTCACTAATGAAACTTAAAGCCATTATACCTATAAAGATTCTAAATTACCTCTGACAGTTTATTAGTTAACAAATTTCCAATAAATTTAATCCTTTAAAAAAAATTATGTATAAAAGTATTTATCATTTAGGAAAACGTTAGCTTGTTTCAAACTAATATGAAATCACTAACTGAAAAAGAATAAAAATTATTTCAATTTATAAAATTAGTGAACAATTATGTTCAACAAATCTTTTTAAGGTACAAAATTTAATTATGCACAAGGTGAATATTTAAAACCTGTTTTCAATCTAATTAAGATGAGAAAGTAAAAAAAAAAAATAATAATACTCATATAGTGTTGCAAAAAACAATGAAAACTCTTGATAAAAATAATTAACACTGAAACATGAGTCTATAAGTTGTCATTATAAAGAAACATTAATAATAAAGGAAACTGCTTAAATTTACATTTCTTTCTTTAACCCTGCCTTATTAAATCCTAAAACTATTCACACACAAAAAAGACAACGTTTTAGTAAATTCCACGTTAGGACCTTGAAATCAATCCCGATTGTTTAAAGCTTGCTAAAACAAATTAAGTTGTTTCTTGATTCAGCAATGGCACCTAAAACCATTATTAACGACAAACTCTAAAGTCTAAGTCCTAAAAATTTAACTTCATATTGTATCTGTGATAAGCAGATCTTCGAAACTGTTTTTTTTTAAATTTATGTATAATGTAAATAGCTTATATTGACACCAAAAACTGAGCTCTCGTAGATGCAATTATCTTATCTTTTTTATTAATAATAAGAGAAACCCTCAATTATAGACGGTAAATAAGCAAACAAACAATTTCCACTCTAGAATCAATCTACTAATTATCAAACTTTAAAAAAACAAACAAAATAACTGTGAAATTACATAGTGCCATGGGTCACTGAGGATTTTGTCAGTCGGATCGCTGTCTGAATCAGTAGACTTACAAAAATGGATGATTTTCATTGTGATAAAATGGTGACAGAAGTTTGTAACAAACACCATTTTAAAATTTATAAATTCTAGTGTAGATCTAACTTACCCGGGCTTCAATATACTCAACTCGTCTCTCTAGTTCTGTCAGTTTCTGATTAAGAACTGCAAGTCTTGATCGACAGGATGTGTCTATCAAAATATACACAAACATTTTCTTTTTTAAAAATCAAGGGTTGATCTTTTAAAAGAAAAAAAAAAAGTCTAAAAATATGTTAAATTTAAAAAAATATTTATTTCAGAAATCATTTAGGCAATTTAGGCTTAATTCTTACAATGCCTAATCAATTACACAGTTTCACAAGATTAGGCATTACAAATGTGAAGGTGAAAAGGTTTCTGGCCAAAAAGCTTATTTTGCTAGATGATACATCATCAAATATAGTGACATACATTATGCTATTTGCTTCGGGTTGAAATAAAGTTCACATTTCCTTATTTACAATGTACAGCTATACTATATGTTATAGTAATATGACTGGTTATCCATGATGATTGCTATTCTAATAAATCAAATGTCGCCATTTTGACAATGAAATCATAATACCCGGTTTTCGGCATTTCCCAGAACTCAACAAAGTACCTACTGACTCTATCAGATGGGTGGGCAGCTTATGCCAATATAAATCAAATCAGAAATGGAATATATGAATATACGAACACTCCCTTGTGGTGCATCAACAAAAAATTTTTGATCCAAGTTGTCTAAATTCTTCTCTTTTAAAATTTAGAATTGTTTTTTTTTTCTTTTAAATTTGCTTATTTGGAGTAATTGTATTATACATGAGCTGTAAAGAATAAGTGCAATGACAATGTATGTACTTCCATTAAGCAAGGGAGACCACTAATTCATAAAATAATTACTATCTCCCAGAATTGTGTTCCTCTTCCGGCCTATCGCTTTAGAGGACATCTTGGCCTACATTTTAATCAATTTCTTTTTCATTTACAATCAGTCAGCTTTGAGAAAATCCTTGGTAAATATAAGGCAACGTTCTTCATTAAAATTAAGTCGAAGTAAAAGACTTGTCACTACCAAATTTTTTTTTGCATCTGGGGAATGTATTGATCTACATGTATGCCAATTTTCACAGCGATATGTGTTTTACGAGAGACGCCATGTTTCTACGGGTTCGCAGCAGGTCATGCAGTTCGCTCAACCTGATTTCGACATGGCGGAAGTTGCCGATACTTAGGAAATATTAAATTATTACCACTATTTACATCAAAATATTTGATAACTTGTGTTTCAGAATGCATTTTGAAGACATTTAAACTGGAATGTTTTAATTAGAGCTTTAAAAACCCGGTAGAGTCCATATTATAAATGATCAGAATTTACGGTGTGCAACACGTTGTCATTGGCAACCATTTACAGCCACTTGCATAATTGCTGTATCGTAGTACTAGCTCAGAGTTTCATTCATAAGAGTTTGCCGTGTGCAAAAACTATTAAACCATTGGTCAGGGAAAGCTTTAATTAATTATTCATGTGCCAAAGTTGAAAGTTTCAACTAAGTCGACCCTAAACAGTATTTTAGTGATAGGGGATGCGTTGCCTTATATAAAATATATAGTCATTGCGCATGACGCAATCAGGGAAATGAGGTCACAAGATGTGAAGGTTTCGTCATAGTAAAAAATACCAAACGAACTCACACTTTAAAAATTCGTAGCTCAAAAAGTACATAAGACATAAGCTAAAAAGTTGATTCTAGTTTCAATTTTTTATTTGAAATTTGCTCTAACTAACTGTATTATTAAAAAAATTTGGTAAAAGTGCAGTTCAAATGCGTATATTATTTCTTAACGCATTTCGTATTTTAAAAATTTTTTATAAGGTAAACTTACGTGTATTCTTTAATAATTAAATACAGGCAGTTATAGTTAACTAATTCTGAATTATGAGTCGCATCTTTTCTTTTTATTTTACTTCTAAAGAGTCTTTAAGCCATCCCCCAACCAAAGTGACACAGCCCCATTTGTTTGTATTTTTCTTTTCACCCTATGCCAGATTTTTAGCCACCTATAAGTTAGTATGCTAAACGAAATTTTCAAACTGTAAGCATTTTCACAAAAAAGAATGAAATACTAGATTTTTCATTATTCACAAGCCCCCCCCCCCCCCTTCTTTTTTGTTCCCCTCAGAGCAAGAGCGCTCGGAATATAGGGGTTGTCCTTTGAAGTCTGGTCGGGTGGGCGGGGGGGGGAATTAGAGGTGGATCACTGACTAGGGCAGTGGACACACACGTCATCATTATCCTGGACCTGGTGTGAAGCTGAAAAAAGAAAGGGTGGGGGGGGGGTGCACGAATACGTGCCAATGTGTGATCACGTGTCCAGTTTTGAAAAAAAAACTATTTGTGACGTTGCACAAATGGGGGAAATCGGAATGATAGCGTGGGGTCATTTTGATAGTCATCTCATCCTGAAGGCTGCTAATACGCTGTCCGTGATCGGTCAGCTCTAATTTGAGTACCCCTCCTCTTTTTTCGTATGCAATTGCAAATGTGCTTATTAATGGTGACTGATTTGCGCTGAGTAAAGTGAGGGCTAGTGATTATTTTTTTTATATTATAAGACGGACTTGCTGGTTGTAGGATCATTTTGTTTAAAATGGCAGGACTACCAAGAAACAATAACTAAAATTGTTGATGCAACGGGCATTTTTAATGGTGCAGCATTTGGTTTAAACGCGCACCTTGTGGAGCAACAAATAACGTTAATACAACTGGAATTTCTCCTAAGGCACTCATAACAATTGCAATGTGGCTTGTAAGCTGTGTTCGTATGTCAAGTATGTGAGCTCCCTATAATTACCGGGATCTGCATATCACCCGAAACGGGATCTCACCCGAAATGGGATCTCACCCGAAACAGGATCTCACCGTAACCAGTATCCCACCGGGATCGGTAACCCACTGGATCGGGATCCCACTGGGATCAGGATCTCACTTGGATCAAAATCCTATCGGGATCGGAGTCTCACCGAAATGCAATCCCACCGGAATCGGGATCCCACCGGATTGGGATCTCATTTAATTTGGGATACCACGGAAACGGATCTCACCGGGATCGGTATCTTACCAGGATCGGGATCCAACCATGACCAGGATTCTATCGGAATCACATCGGGTTCGGGATCCCATCATGATCCTTCCTGGTACCATTGTAAAACGGGAAAAACGAAAAGTTTACATAAGTTATTTTAGGTGTTTTTATAGGAGACAAATTAATTATTATTTTTTTTACTATAGACTATAGTGTTGTTGTTTTGTTGTTGACATTTCGTTTAATAGCAATGTTAGTATTGTTAACTAAAAGGACGTAGCAGATGTTTTTTTCTGAATGCAGCCCCGGGCAACTTTGGTTATAGTTGATAGTAAAGTTATAAAATAAATGCATCATTTATTTTAACTAGATTCATCCAATTGGGCAACTTTTATAAAGTATCTTTAAAGACAGAAGAGTTATCCTTGATTTACCACAACGGCTCCTTAAAACACGAAAGATTCATAAAAATGTACATTTTTTATCTCGTAAAATTTGTTAAATTGTTGTATTCCAATAAAAAGATGGTATATAACTTTTAAAATACTTTTTATAAAGAATTAACATTAGTTTACACGGGAAAATAAGAGATTCAAACAGAAATAATATACGCACCTGAACTGCACTTTTACCAAAAATTAGTTCAAATTTTTCAATATTTTTATTCAAGTACCTAGACAATGTCCATTCAATGTCATTAACAAAAACATAATTATAATAAAATTGTCTAAATAAATAATAAATAGCACTTAAAACCGGAACAACAGGTTTTTTTCGGAGCCGAAGGTCGAGTGGTAGATTACACTGAAAAAATACCCACCAAATGAATTTAGGAAGTCTGTTATTTTCTTAATACTTCCAGTTATCACTTCCACATATTCTCTATTAGCCCAATCCTGTTGAAGTGGCCTTTGATGTACTGCTGGTTGTTGATGAGACGCCATTTTCTTCCTGGTATAATGATACCAAGGTAAAGCTATTTAACGAAATCTTAAATAAAATTCGAGATAGTTACTTTTGATCCATGGCAAATAAATTTTAGCTGGAGGAGAAAAAAAAAAGTTATCCAATTCTTTTTAAAATACTTAAAAATTATAATGTAGCAATCACTTAATATTATTTTATTATTTTGGTACCGTAATTGGCCATCTATATATTATGTGTGCAAAAAGTCAAATTGTAGAGGCTGTCAGAATTTCAGGATAATTATTGCAGTAATTATTTGCATAAGTTAACGTATTTTCTGCCGAGTCCTCGCCCCCACACCGTCATACGCACCCATACGCACTATATAAAAAATCAAAAAGCCCCTCCCCCAAAATCCATACGTAATTTATTGAGAGCCACTATTACCAGATAAATGGAGTTCATTTTATATCGAATAGGCACGAGACGCTTTAAGATACACTTTTTTCTAATTCTATGCTAAATTAGGAGCCAAACAACGTATGGGCAAATCTTGTAAAAAGGGCGCAAAAAAAAACAACAACAAACAAACAAAACAAAGAACGTGTTGGCAAGAAGCCTTCTTCAGGGAATAATCCATCCATCCCTGTGGCACTACAGCCTGTGTAGGGCTTTGGCCTGCCTCACCACATCCTTCCACTCAGACCTAATTGATGCTTTTCTTTTCCATGCTTAGATTCCCATGAGCCGTTTTCCTCTGGGGTTTTGGCTGTGCACTTTCTTCACTCTTCTATCATTTGGCATTTTTTCTAAGTGTCCCGCCCAGCGTAGCCTATACTTTTTTTTGTTTGTTTAATTTCTGACACTAGCATGAGATCCTTACATAGACTGTACAATTCCTGTTGATTCGTATTCTCCATCCATTTTCATCTTTTATTGGTCCATATATCTTCCGGAGAACTTATCTCTCTCATCTGTTTAAAAGGTTTTCTGTAATTTTTAGTAGGGTCCAAGTTTCACTTGCGTATGTTATAACTGGTCTGATTATAGTTTTCTATATAGTTTTCTTTGTTTTTCTTGTAATCTTTTTACTTTTGAGTATTTTGTTACTGCTGAAGTATGCCCTGTTTCCGGTCGATATTCTTTTTTTTTAATTCCTGTTAGCAATCTATTTCTTTAATTCATTAAGGATCCTGGTTATTTGAATTAATTTACTCTTTCAAAAGTGTGGTTTTTAATTTTAATGGCTTCATCTGTCTGTTCTTCTCTTATCATAATCATGTATTTTTTTATTTTTTTTTTGGTTGTTAATTCAATAACCAAAAAAAAAAATAAAAAAATAAATTATTATGTTAA